TATTTTCAAAAACTATGAACTATTAGAACATGTGAAATTGACATTTTTATGTTTATTCATATTCTATTTAATGGTTATTTAAAATCATAAATTGATAGATTTTTTCTAAATTTTCTTTAACAAATCCAAAATTTATAACAATGAATTTGGAATTATTTTAGTCAACAAATTATAATATTTATGTCTTATCATCTTTTTGGTATTAATTAACATATTATATTTTTAGAGATTTATTTTAATTATATTATGAAATACTTTGTAATTGATTAATTATTTAAGATTTTTTTTGGTCGTGTTACGTGTTTATAAGCTAGCTTATACCAAAAATTATTTGTTCATCAACTAGCTTATCAACTATCAGTTAATTTGTCAGTAAAATATATTAAAATACAACAAAATTTGTATTTATTCTTACCTAAGTAAATAAAAATATTTTTATAAAAAGTTTCAATTTTTTAAATCTATTTTGACTGATAATTTGTTGATCTCTCAAATCGCAACATTTGATAACAAGGGGTCATGGATGTCCACTTTCTCCTAACAATTTTGTAACATATATTTTTATCATTAAATAAGACTAGAAGAGTACTCGTGCAATGCAGCGAGACACGTTTCTATTTTGATATTCTGTTTTATTATTTGTCTCTTTCGATGTTATAATATGATTTTATGTGTTTTTTAAAAAGTAATAATGATTTATTTTTGAATAAAATATAAATTTGAAGATATCATAAAATTTTGAAAAAAAATATATCAATGTTAATATCAAATCAACTATTTAAAAGTCTCAATTTTTTTATGTAATATATTTAATTTATTTTTTATTATAATTTAATTTAAGTTTAATAATGAAATAATTTATTTTTGGTTTAACAATATAACATTTTATAAGGATAATAATTAAATATTATGTTAGAACTCAATGATTATCCTAATTATATTTTAGATTTTTATATTTAAAATAAGATGTTTATCCTGTATTTGATTATGTTTATCTACAGTTAGTTACACGAATTTAGATATAGAGCTTTAATAAGTTGTACTTACGCACAATCTACTTGCAATCTTGAGTTTTAAGTAACATGCATTAATAAACAGTACTTTACGCATAAAAATTGGTTCTTAAGAGTTTTTGTCATATGTTTTATAATATAGTATTGATATTGTTGATAATAAGAGGTAAATAAGATGTTGGTTTTACCTCTTATCAGATAAGAGGAAAATAAGACATAATTGTCTCTAAAAATTGGAAAAAACAAACAGTTTAAATGACCCTACCTCTTAATGAATAGGACATAAGAAACTGATAAAAGTTTTTTTTATAAAAAAATAAACAAGACCAAAGTCTTTATTTCAGATGGATTTTTCTTATTGGTAGAAGAAAAGTGTTTTTTAATTTGTAAAAACAAAAACTTAGGGGCCGTTTATCAAATACTTATCCAATAAGCGTTTATCGGTAAAATTTAAGACTATCATTTACCTAGCAGGTAAGATTTTAGTTCATCAAAATGGTTTCATATGCAAAAATATACCTAGTAAGCGCTCACCATGGTAAGAATTGTCGTCCTCACTTACCACGTAAGACTCTTGATCCTTTTTCTCACTCTTATCGGATAAGATTTTTGATTCATACCATCCTCATCTGATAAACGTCCCTTAGAATTTCTATATAAAATCCTGTAAAAAATTATCAAATAAACCATTTTTTTATACCATGAGTGTACAAGTGCTTATGCATGGCGTACCATGATCTATTGATCTGTAGTCAACTACCTATTGAACACCGATTTTCACTTGCAACCGTTTAGCAAGGAATCTATCGAAGAAAGCATCCGCGAGGCGGCACCACCACCGGAGGACCTTCTTCTGCTGAAATCCTACTCAGGAAAACGACCTATCGAATCAAGTAATAATGGGGGAAGAGCAAGATCCACAGAGGTTGAAGAAGATAGCGGCCGCCGCTTACGACTATGATAACGATTCAAGATGGGCTGATTACTGGTCCAATGTTCTCATCCCTCCTCACATGGCTTCTCGCTCCGATGTTATCACCCACTTCAAACACAAATTCTATCAGCGTTACATCGTAAGCACTATTTTTTCGCTGCATCATTTCTTACCTCACCCTAATTTTCCCCCAGACTTTAGTTACTAGTAATTGTTTGTGTTTTAATCTGATTATGAACTTGGATTCTAGAACTTACGGTTGTATTTTGATTTGATTATGAACCTGGATTTCAAAACTCACGGTTTTACTTTGGATCGTAATCTGATGATTTGCCTGTGTTATATAATTTGGATCTCAATTTTGTAGATTTAGTATTTACGTTATTGGATTGAATTGGCTGAGGCATTCTGGAGTTTCTCTGTTTCTTCGAATTTATGGTCCTTGTAGACTCTTTTGAAATTAGGGTTCATATGCCTTTCTCTTCAAGTAAGCAAAGATGGTTACTTACTATCATACTGATCTGAAGTTCTGAATCCAATCCAAGTATGTACCATATTTGGGTCCTCAAAATGGATTTTTGAATTAGATAATATAGAACCAAGTGTTGAAACAAAAAGGAGGAATTTTGGATTAACTGAAAAGAAGCAACACAGAATGGGAAGGTGGATCTTATAAATGCGAGGCTACGGGTGTTGATAAATATGGAAGCCGTAAGAATCAAATCATTTAAAAGGACGTAGTTCACCATTGAGTGGAAGATTGAGAACAATCTATGCTGTTAATTGCTGTGCTACCGCAGTTTGCGGTCTTCGAAGTGACAACAGTGGTAAAATAGCGGTCAGAATAGCGGTTCCACCATTATCGATGCTAAATACTGCTATTTGGCCGTTATTTGGTTCCAAAATGGCAGAAATAGCGGTGCTATGGCCACTATTTGCTAAATACTGTAGTCTTTTTCACTTTTGGTATCTTTGGTTCTTCCAAGTTCCACCATGAGGATCATTATAAACTTCTTTAGGTTCTTATACCGTTCCACAACTACCACGATAAGGCTTCTTTTGTTTCTTCCTACACTCCACAAGGATAACAGTCGACGGGTTTGCTAACCAGCCTTTTGAATCTACAACTTTTGTTTAACAGTCAACGGGTTCAAGAATTATACAGAAACTCTTTTGCTATTTTGTTTATGTGAAACTTGACTTGTTTAAGTTAATGTTTTGATGTTTAAACTGTATACTTCTGTTGAATACATACTATATTAAGTTATATATATATATATATATATATATATATATATATAATTATATGGACCTCTTTACCACCACGATAGCCGCTATATCAAAACATGGTCGTTATTTTGAATTTTGACCGCTGTAACAGCATAGAGAACAATAAATGTGCAAAGATTGAAGTAGAGTAAGCAAAGGAAAAGTGTCATAGGTCAGAGAACTGATTATGGGAGACTCATAAATGCGACCTTCTCAATGAAACAAATGAAAGATTAAGGTTTGGGTTATGTATATAAACAAGTGTACAAAAATTTAAGCAGTATGGAAAGATTACTTAGGTAATTGATAATTTGAACATGTAATTACCATGATGAATGTAATCTCATCTCTAGAGTCAGTAGCAATGAGCCAATGATCAAAAGATGGAAGGCTGTAGGGATGAATTTGTCTTTTCAGCTTTATAAATGCCTAGAAATCGTGCTTCATTGAGTGAATTTGTATAATTATGCTAATATGTCCAAAGGGATGGCTAGTTAAGAAGGATCAGCTTTAATCAAGTTGAGGATGTAGAAAAGTTAAGGGTCTACCAAAAAAATCATAGATTAATAGAGTAAAACTTCCTCATTTGGAAGATACTAGGAAGGAAATTACAAAGAAATTGGTAGTTCAAACAGGAAAGGATGATTTGAAAATTTAAGTATTTGATGTTGGTAGGCAATAAAAGAGTGTCGGTTGCTAATGCTCATCTGGGTTGTTTGCAACTAAAGACTATCAGTTCCTTTATGTTTACATAGCTTACAGGGTACTTTGTTTATAACATAGTTGCATTAAATTTTGTGAGATCCCACATTGGTTGGGGAAGGGAACAAGGGTTGTCTTGTAAGGGACTAGATACCTCCTCTACGAGACGCATTCTGAAACCGTGAGTCAAGGTGCGGACAAAGCGGACTTTCTGGTACAGGTGCCTGGGGATGTTACAAATTTGGTGGTGGAAATTGAAAGCATGCACTTTTCTTTTTCCTTCAGCCTCATAGATAATAATTAATAAGGTGCTAAATATGCTTGCCTAGATTAGTAACAGCATTATACGATGTTGATAAATATGCATGTTACACGGGGATGTTCGATAAATGTCTACAAATGACATTAGGTGTATCAGTTTCAATTGTGGGATCATTCTGGCAATTTATGAAGTTTCTCTGATTAAGGTTGGATATGTCTTGTGTTCAGGACCCTGATCTTGTTGTGGAACCGATGACTACAAATAGCACCTCACAGTCTGCAAGATCGTCCACATCATCATCATCATCTGGAAGTGAACATAGGCCACCTCGCAACTCAGGTAGAAAATTTTGTTTTCTGTGATATGGATATCTTGTGTACTACACATGTTTCTCTAACATATAAAAGAACAAAAATGATGTCTTATGATATAATTCGATGACATCACCAAATTTTCATCTTTTTCTAATGAATGCAATAAAATATTGTAGGGTCCACTACAAGAGCTGCAGGGGCATCAACTCCGAGTTCCACTCCTTTGCGCTGGGATCGACAAACAATTCAATTTTCAGTCAATGCTTGGGTATGTTCCTTTGTGTGTGTGTATATATCAATGTGTTTAAGGGTATATATATAGAGTTGGTTTCCGGTAAGATAGTAGTTATCGTGAGAAGGGTAAGAAGGGATCTCCACCCTTGGATCAATCCTAGTTGTAGATCAATTGAAAATACCCTTTTAAGCTAATTCATGGGTTATTTTGGGACTCAATCTGAACCATTAGATCAACACTAACTAAAAGTAATCAAGGGTCCAAATCCCTTCTCACCTTAACTCCTATTTTCACACGATACTTCGTCTATATATATATGAATGTGTTTAAGGGTATATATATCAATGTGTTTAAGAGTACCACACAAACACGTGTAGATTATGAATACTGGTCACTGAATTAGGGACACGATGACTACCTGTTTTCTACAAATTACTTCTGTAATCCAGCTTCCCTTTTGTTAGTTCTGTTATCTCTATAATAGTTGTTCATGTGCTGATCCAAACAGAAAGATTTTTTATCCACCTCCATGGACTAGAGAACTAACTATAAGGAACACAACGACACCACCTCCATGGACTAGAGAACTATAAGGATCACAACGACACTTTCAATAGTACCTGGGTTCAGACCCATCGGTAGTTTATAGGGTCACTGGACCTCTTCCATCAATTTGAAAATGGTAAAGCAGAGAACCAGAGTTCTTCGTTTGCATGATCCACAATTTAGCAGCACATGTAGAAGACCAGCTTCACAATAGATACGAAAACTTAGCCTCACTAATTATGTATTTATGTCTAGGATGACAAACACCTTGAAGTAAGCAATTTCCTATTTCAGATAAAAGAATATTAACTAATAAGGGGGGATTTGAAGACATATTTTGAAATATAGCACCTATATCACGTTTTAGACAGTGAAACCCCTATCTTGCTGTTCTGCATATTATGAACTCATTCCACAAACCGAAATAAGCATTTTGAAGATGGCATCATGGTCCTTTATCTGTCAAATAGCCTCTCATCATCAAAACGAAGTTGTTATGTTCAGACTTTGTCATATTAAGGTGGGTGTAAAGATAGAATGAGCATACCAGATAAATGGAAGATATAAAAATATATTTACTTCCCACTAAATGATCCATAACAATATATAAACTTATAAAAAGGGCCTGTTCGTTGGCAGCTTAATGAGCTTAATGAGCTTAATGGGACTCAGCCTATTTGTCACCTATACATGACTGCTTGGTAGTGGCTTAATGATATAGAAAGTGGCTTATTCAATAAGCTTTTCGGGGGGAGCTTTATGCAGAAAGCCAGGTTTTTTCCAAACCTGCCCCTCCCAATTAAAAAACATGCTCCTTCCATCTATGAAAAAAATCCTCCCAAACAAAAACTTTCCATATCCATACAGACGGCTTTATCCATACATGACTTAATGGAAAACCAACCAAGCATCCCCTAAGGCTTATAATCTGCATGTTACTAAAGCTTTCAATATGCTTCTTCCTGCAGGTCTTTGTTGTGGCTGTGCTTGCTATGTTTCCGCTCATTCCTAATAACCTTTCTAATAGAGCTTATCGGCTGTCGTTTATGGGCACTGCATGCTCCTCTTTGTATTCTCTCTACTCTCTTTATGGGGTAATATTTTAGGACTTGTAAAAATATTCCTTTAATGATTGTGATTTCTTGGTGCTGCTACTAATTGTATCTCATTGTTTGCAGAAACCAAGGGCATGGAATTTGCAGGAAGTGCAAGTGTGGCTTCAGTCAGTAATTGCAACAAAAGATTTTATCTATTTCATTTATTGCCTCACTTTCGTCACTTCAAATCTTCGCCTTACATGTTAGTATTACTTGATTTTTTTATTCACTTGTGATTACGTTTTCCTAGACGCTTACACATAATTTTTGTCGATATTCGCAGTTGCTTTGCTGCCCATTGTATACCGATCCTTGGAACATTCTGCAAAATTCACTAGGCGTAATTTCAGTCGTTCATCCTTCTACAGGTAAAAAAGTTTCCGAACTTTTCCTTCGGGTAAAACAATTTGATCATTATACTTCTGGGATGGGACATGACAGAACAAAAACTTGTTGTCCCACGTTTGGTACATCATTATTGGACATGACTATAGGTGGAACTAAAATCAAGGAGATGGAAGATGATGTAAATTACTCAACTAACCTTGTCAAATTAAACTCTAAAACCTTGCGTAGTTCTTTCACTTGCCTACCTCACTCTCACCCATCCTGCAAATGCATCCTAAGATGTATTTGGTACTTTGGTCTTTGGTACACTGGACAGGACAAAACAGAAGAGGGATCATTGTTTCATGTTTGGTAGCACTTTCATGTGGAACAAGTGTGTTCCACCCCCATCCCACGGAAGAAGGTGGTAGAGACCTAAATTTTACTAATATAGTCTATACTATCTTATTAAGCAAATTTAGCAAAAGTCTTAAAATACTAAATGACCAAAATACCCTTTATACTCACTTTTTCACCCCATCCTCTCCTCACATACACTCACCCCCTCACATACACTCACTCTCTCCCAACATTTTTTTAAAATTATTATTTTAAATTTACACTTTATACCCCTATAATTAATAAATAAATTTACTTTACGTCGTTTCATTTTAAACCCTTATCAAATTAACATACATAATCGTATATCAATTAAAACATGTTTAAAAAATACATTTTTATTTTAATAAGTTACACCATTATAACCGTCTCGTTAATACCTTCGAAATGAGTCCAATATTGAATAGWTTTTGACTTAATTATATTATTATATATTATATATACTGTGAAAAAATATTTTTAATATCTACGATTTATAATTTTATATTATTTATATATATACTATATATTTTGGGGTTAGGCTGTCTAAATTGCACTGTATAATATGTTTTGAATTAATATGTTCTTGGGTTTTTTTGAAATATGTATATACATGTATCAATTCAACCTTAATCTGAGTTTCTGGACAAGAAAGATGGTAAGCAGTTGAATTTCATTCTAAAACCCATCTTTTTTTGTCTTTTCATGGCTTATGATCTGTCAAATTTGTAGTTTTCTTTATTGGTTTTGAATGTTTATCTTAAAACTCAAGTTTCTTGGTTCTTTGCTCTTGGTGTAAATCGAATACATTTGTGGAGTCGTTTAAATATGTTGGATTTTAAATATATTGGATTATAAACTGTCATATAATTATTTTCATCGATAGTCTGTAATTAGAACTATAACTCTTATTTATTCAAATTGTATTAATATGTAAAGACCAAGTGTAACCTATATCATCGTTAAATCTTATCTTATAAAACCAATGGAACTTCAAAATCGTTAAAATTCATGGCTCCCGCCGCATTGCATGGGTATACAACTAGTCTCAAAATAAAATCTAATTCTCTTCTAAAACATCAAATACTCCTCCCTCTTTACATTTTATTTATTGTATTTTATGCTCTATAAACTTTCATTTTACTATCCTCAAAAAAATTATTTTTATACGATTTCTATAATGTTGTTAATTTATGTAATTTATTAAATATTAGTAATATTAAAATAATATAGAAAATGCATATAATAAAAACTGGAGACTAGATAAACTTTTTATTTTGGTGTCACTTTAATCGTCTTGACTAAAAATTTCTAATAATATATTTTGTTATACAAAATATTTGTTCTATTTTTAATAAATTACATAAAGTTAATCAAAATATATAAACAACTTATTAGGGGTAAATTGGTCATTTTATTTGTTCTGTCATGTCCAATTATGTCTTACCAAACTCTGAACAACTGTCTTGTTCTGTCCTGTTGGATACCAAACGCACCATAAAGGACATGGACATCATGCTGATGGGGTATTTCCATCTTGATAAAGTAAGATTGCATCTTACATGTCTTTAATGTCGTTAACTGATCTTTGTGATGGTTTCTTAACAGGAAGTACTTGGATGAGCCTTGTGTTTGGGTGGAATCAAACGCAACGATGCTCAGCATACTATCTTCACAAGCGGAGATTGGGATTGGGTTCCTTTTGATTATCTCTCTTTTATCGTCAGTAACCATACTCGGCTTTCATACCATCCTGCCCTTGCTTGTGCTTATTTTTATTTTATGTTCTTTTTCATGAAGACCGTTCTTTTAAGCTCGCTATTTTCATATGCAGGTCGCAACGTAACATTATACAAACTTTCATGTATTGGCAGGTTAGTAATTTCTTCTAGTTATTGCCAACAACTGTGAATCCGACTTAAATCAAACTCAACGAACCCAGTGAGTCATGCATGAAGAGGGGGGGGGGGTCTGGTTAGTGTACTATATATGCAACCCCAATGGTAAAGAGGTTGTTTTCTCTGGTTCAACCGGCACCAGCATATAAAAGCTAGACCTTGAGGCTCCTCCCCATAGGTTGTTGGTTCAAGTCTCTTCTGGACCACCAGGAATTTTCATTTCCCTGAATGTTATCTTCAGGCTCCATTGGATACGCAACCTTTCCTCCACCCCACTAGGTAAAGATGTTTCTCCAGCTCACGTAGCAAACAGAGGCGGACCTAAGAATTTTTCCAAGTGGTGGCAATAGTTGACTATAAGAAACTAAGATATAAATACTATTCACGAAATCATCATTGCTTTGTTGATTAGTTCTTTGTTTTTCATATGAGTGGTCTTGTGTTCGAGTCTTTTATTGAATTTTTTTGGAAAGATAATAAATCTGAAATTAAAAAGCTAAAAACTAAGGAAAATGACACAAACAGGATTCGAATCCGGGTCTGCGATGGGAGTATAGCCATGCAAACCAATTCTAAGGGAAACTTGTGTCACAATTGTAGTTTCAAAAATATATACGGTTGCATAAAACAAAATGATATGGTGACACATTTCACGACCCTATGATTTTTCACTACAACGGAGGAATGAAGTGGTGGCAAATATCCAATAGAGTGAGTCCTCCCCTATTGCGGCTCCCCTATGGGTTGCCAGTTCTAGTGTTGTCAGGGCCACTAAGGGTGTGTTTGTTAGCAGCATAATGAGCTTAACGAGACTCACAGCTTATTCTGTCAACTATACATGACTGTTTGGTAGTGGTTTAATGATATAGAAAATAGCTTATTCTGTAGACTTCTAAGGAGAACTTAATATAGAAAGCCAAGTTTTTCCCTAACCGCCCTTCCCAATTAAAAAACATGCTTATTTCATCTATGAAAAAATTCTCATAAACAAAAACTTTCAATCTATATAGTAAGATTAATCCACACAGATAGCTTTATCCATACAAGACTTAATGAAAAACCAACCAAACAGCCCCTATGGATTTCCTGGTGGTTATCTTTAGAATCCCATGGAATTAGTCAATGTGCATGCAAGCTTACCCATACACTCATGGTTACCAAAAAACAACGGTTTTCGTGGAGACACCCGGCTTGCGAAATCATTTTGTGATCTTTAATTTCTGTAAAAACAAACTGTGAAATAATTCATTCAACCATTCATCATAATAACTGGCATCTTTTGAAACTCTATTTCTGGCAGCTGTTGAAGCTCATGTATCATGCCCCAGTTTCTGCCGGTTACCATCAAAGCGTGTGGTCTAAAATTGGGCGGACGGTTACTCCTCTTATTCATCGATATGCTCCGTTTCTAAACAGTCCCATCTCTGCCATACAACGGTGGTGGTTCAGGTAACCATAGCTTTTACACGGATGAGAATAAGGATCGATACAGAACATACTATTATGTAATGTAGCTAATTATACGGCACTTGGATTATATGCTCGATGGTGGGTGTGTTTTTAATTTTGAGATTGTACGTTGTGGTGGATAAATTATATTGTAGTTGAAGAACGGACTTTACGCGATGATTTTTGAGATGTCGAAACTCGAATATATATCGAGTTGGCATAAATGCGAATTTTTGGTTGGATTGATGACATGAGAAATGATATAAGATTAAGGTTGAAGATGACAATGTAGGAGTTATGATCAAAATCTTCATATATGGTATGGTTGATTTTGAATTATATTTGCACAAACCGGTGAATGTTCAAGTTTAAGTGTCGCCGTCCTAATAACGGGCTTTAAACAAGCCATGAGAGCATCTTCAATAGATTCTCTAAAATGAAGGATTTTTATGATTTTTTTACTCAAAACAAATTTTTTAAAAACCACCTTCAAAATGATTAAAGTAGGTGAGAGCAGATAAATTTTTTTTAAATTTGGAGAACTCTCTAAAAATTATTACCTATAAAAGAAAATTTATTTTTTATTTTTCTTATCAATGAGAATTTTTGAAATTAAATATATAAGAGAGATAAATGATATTTTATGAAAGATATTGAATATTTTAATAGTATAATTCATATTGTGATGCTGAATTCTCAAAATTTCGAAGAAAAATTCAGTTTCTTTACTAATTTTTTTTTTCATTTTAAAGAAAGATTTAGAAAAACCATTAGACCAAAAATATTTAAAAACTCAAAAAACTTCTATTTTCTCTATCTTTATTCCATTAAGAACTGCAGATTTCTCGGTACATGCCATTATCTTTATGTATGATCCGATTGATTGCGTAAAGCCTGCGGTAGCAATGGAAGATCATGATATGATCACTTGCTTTTTAGGTCGTCACAGACCTTAATTGAATTGGGTCTAAGAATCTAAGAAATCGTGAGAATTTTTGATTAAGATGATGATCAATAGCTGGTCTGAGATGACGATCAACCACATTGAGATTGAGATTCGTTATTGAAGATGCTCTGGAAACATCTTCGAAGAATTATCCAAAACAGACAATAATTTTTTTTACTCCAATAAATCTTCAAAAGATAATTAAATAATTTAATTAATTATCAAATATTTATATAGAGTAAAATTAAATTTACTAATTTAAAATTTATTTTATTACCATAACAATAGATACCTAGTCGATTTAGGGGGATAAAGAAAAAGGTTTTGCAGATTAATCTTGGGGACCTCAATCAACGGCCAGCAATTTTCTTGATTTTACCCTAACGATCATATATAGACCCATTGATTACTGTTGACACCCAAATGACCTTTCCTTCCCCTTTACTCCCGATTTACCAAGATCTGAAGATACAACCATCGTTTTTCGTCAAATCCCTTCGTTTTTAGGTAAATCTCTAAAACCCTCTATCTTATCTTGTTTCTTGGTAATTCAATTGCCACAAAAAAGCTAGAAAATGTGGAAATGATTGGATGTTTATCGGTTGATTAGTTATGTTTCCAGTTCTGTAAGTGAAGCATTCTGTTCGATCTTCTTTCATGCTTCTTTCCCCCTTTTGGTTCTTAAACAATTTGAAAGCGAATCATGTCAATGATAGCTGAGTCGGGTAGGTTTCGGGATTTTGTTCAGAACCCTGAATTTTGATTTAGGTTTGAAGTTTTAAGGTTATTGTAGAATGCGACCTTCTGTTTTTGTTTTGTTTTGATGAATCTTTTAGATGTCTATTGGATGTATGTGTGAAACGGCTGTTGAAAATGTATAGAAATGATGGGGTAATTGATCGAAGTCATGGGTTCATTTTTTGAATGCAGAATTTAGAGTAAACTTAGGGTTTATGTTTTACATCAATTAATACAGTTGTGTAATACTAAATTTGGGGTCCTTTGGATCATATGGAATGTAAATGGTATGGCAGACCAGGTTGCCCTTGGATCTCTGTTGCACAGATGAATCAGATTGTGTAGTACAATTTTTGCAAGACTTAATTAAATATGCATCCCCCCTAGATTTCTTGCTAAATTGTGTCCATTTAGTGTTTATGTTGTTTAGATCGTGACAGCAAGAGTCACCCTTGTAGGAGGTTTGTCTTTGCTTGATGGTAAAATTAGCAGAGGTGGCTGTTTGGTTTGTTATCCATTAAGTCTTGTATGGATAAAGCTGTATGGGTGGATTAATCTGTATTGATTGAGAAGTTTTTTGTTTGGATGGGTTTTTTCTTAGATGGATGAACAGTTTTTTATTTGGGAAGGTTAGGTTTGGAAAAAAACATGGCTTTTTGCATAAAGCTCCCCTAGGAGCTTACTGAATAAGTCACTTTCTATATCATTAAGCCACTCCCAAACAGTCATGTATAGCTGACCGAATAAGCTGCAAACTTCCATTAAGCTCATTAAGCTGCTTGCAAACAGGCCCTTATTGCTCTCTTGGTCTCCGGCAGGGGTTTTATGCTCTATGCATGTCGCATACCTGAGTTTCCAGTTGTCCAACATAAACTCTTTTCTCTTCAAATTTTAGTTTTGTTTGTGTTTTTATCAAACCAAGAAGATTCGATAACTGTATTAGTATTAGATTTCTTGCCAAAAGAAATCCGATAACTATATTGAATATTGTTATAATAAGTTAATAACATAATAGGTTGCGACTTCAAAACGATAAAGGAGGTACTTGTGTCTACATTTCCTAACTCATGGGTGATGCCCATCACTTTACCAATGTCATATTTGCTATATGTCGTGTTCCTCGATTTATTGTGTTTTTATACAAGGTTTATCATTATCTTTTGATATGGTTGGTATACTGTTAAGAAGTTCATTATAAGTTGTTTCACTGATAAAGTAGTAATTGAAATTTGAAATTTTATTGTATTGATTTCCCCAAATTCTTTAAGAGAATCTTTGTTGACTCAACTTTGTCTCAGCACAATTGAATTGATGTCTGTGATCTGATTTCCATGCCAGAAAATATGGAAGATTCACCTGATTTAAGCAAGGATGGTGAGGACTGTAGCAAAATTCCGTCATCTAGTAGTCCTGGTGGTGGAAATGAGAATATTAACGATCATATCACTACGAATCAGCCCATAGAAGCTGATGTTGGTCTTGATTCAGTCGTTACTGCAACTACTCTGCAAGTTAGTGTTGAAATAAACGATTCTACAGTTATAGAAAGTAAAACTTCAGTACTTGCTGAAAATGGTGCAGCGGTTCAAGATGGAAGTCCCGTTGGGAATCATAAGAGAAACGGAAGTCCTGCCAGCAACCGTGAGATAGATGGTATCTCTAACCTTTTGTTCACATCTTTTGATAAGTACTTGTGAATCGGGTTTTACTTGGTGAAGCATAACTATGATTTTTCTTTCCATGATCCATACATGCTTTAACTTAAATTCATGGCAGTGAAGACCTTATTATCTGCCCTCTTTGTGTTTGTATATATATATGTATACGTTCACTAATTTTAACAAGCTTCTAACTGCACTATGTTAGTAAGTTTCCTAATTTGTTTTCCCTTGACATGCTAGCCGTATCTGGTATTAAGAGACCCCGAATAACTGTTGATGAACAGCAAGCTTCAGTCCATGTCATTTATAATTCTTTAACAAGGTATAAAGGAAAACGTTATTGTTCAATACTTCCTATTGTTTCTATTTAGATGTCCAGTTTTCACTTCCTAATTATGTAAAGTTCCATCACTTTTTGATCTTTTTATCTTGATTTTTTGGAGAATCAGTTTCAGATTGTGCGTATTTTTCTTCGTATATTTTCATTTTATATTTAACATTTATAACAAAGTGAACTGGACATCTATATAGGAACATAGGGAGTAAAAATGTATGAACAGAGTTTGTTTTTTTTGTGTTTATGGACAGTTTCTCATCCTGTTGATTCCATGTCAAGAGGATTGTGGTTAAAGAATTTATGTGTGAACTCTAATTGGATAACTTTGTGTATCAGAGAGAGTAAACGGAAGCTTGAGGAGTTATTACAGAAGTGGTCAGAATGGCATACTCGACATCGTTCTTCAGCTCGTGTAAGTCTTGATTGTCCGATATCGTTACTCATCTCATTGCAGCCCATGTCCTAATTGTCTATGGTTGGATGATTAGCCTTGCTATATGTTTTTTTATGATATTCTATATGTGCTCGATTTTCTATTTTCATATTACGTCTTTACATGCTACAGCTAATTTAGAAAAGGAAGAGGAAAATGGAAGTAACATTAGATGCCCATGTTGGCATGTAAACATTGTCATGCTCAATAAACCAAACCAAACCAAACGAACCCTTTATATCCAATCTGGAGGTGGGTTTCGGGGAGGGTAAGATATACGCAAACATGACTTTTACCCCCAAACAGTAGAGCCGCTGTTTTCGTTAAGACATGCGGCTTGTGAAAGTGTCGATCATAAATGTGGAGTCGAGTTGATGGGTTAGCACATGCATATCTCCATCTCAATAATCTTGGATGTAGTTACTGCCTGTTGACCCTAAGGGCCTGTTCGTTAACAGCTTAATGAGCTTAATGGGACATATGGCTTATCCGGTCAGCTATACATGACTGTTTGGCAGTGGCTTCAAGGATGGACCCAGTTAAGGGCCTATGGTGGCAACTGGCACGTGCCACAGGGAAATCCCTCCGTCGTAAGGTAAATTTTTTTAGGTTCGTGAAAGGTGTAACCAGATCGTCTTAGGAGGTGCAATCGTTTTGTATGACGCTACCGTATGGAAAAATTCCTGGGTCCGTCCCTGAGTGGCTTTAAGATATAGAAAGTGGCTTAATAGTAAGCTTCTAGGGGGAGCTTTGTGCAGAAAGCCAAGTTTTCTCAAAACCTGCCCCTCCCAATTAAATACACGATCCTTCCATCTATGAAAAAACTCTTCCAAACATTCTCAATCTATAGAGACGGATTAATCTACACAGACAACTTTATCTATATGGGACTAAATGGAAAACTAACCAACTAGCCCCTAAGATACACTAAATTCGGTGTTCCTTACATGACTGGTGAGCTCATGAATTGGTATTGTTTTTCTTGAAATTGTAGGTTCATTTACTTCAATTGATGCATATCAAATTAGTTAAATTAGATATATGCTCGGAGCTCTTTTGGTATTTTGTGATGTTTTTTCTTTACTATTAGATTTTTATGTTCTTTAATATCCGAATTATTTCTCGCCTGTTCAGGATTCAGAGGTTGAGCTAGAATCTGGCGAAGGGACCTATTTTCCCGCTCTTGATGTTGGTCTCGATAAACCTTCTGCAGTGGTAATTTTACTTTCTTTAAAAATGTTATATATGTAGTTTTATGAACGGATTTTCAGGAAACTTTTGCCTTTTGTAGTCATTCTGGTTGGATGGCGAAACTAGGAATTTGCAAAGCAAGGAAGTTATAGCGTTGGATAACAACTCAATCCCGCTTTATGATCGTGGATATTCTTTCGGCTTAACATCAGCGGATGGTTCGATGAATGTCAATGGGTAAATATTTTACTTCTATATATAGATGCTTCGTTTTGGAATTATATAAATAAATATCTCGTGATCTTTTATGCTATTATTTATTATCTTGACTTGTAATTCTCAATTGATTTGTTTTCTTTCCTTGTGATTAGAGGTTTGGAAATAGTGGACGGTTCTCGCTGCTTTAATTGTGGTTCGTATAACCATGCACTGAAGGAATGCCCTAAACCTCGTGACAACGCTGCTGTTAACAGTGCTCGTAAACAACATAAAGCTCGGCGTAATCAGAATTCCATCTCTCGTAATCCAACTCGATACTATCAAGACACTCCTGGGGGGAAGTTTGACGGTTTACGGCCGGGCATGCTGGATCCAGAAACAAGAAAACTTCTGGGTCTTGGGGTAAGCAAAAAGTCATTCTTGGGCTAAAGTTTATCCTTCACATTGTTAAACTGATATTAACAGACAAATCTTAGGGTTAATCCTAATTTGTGATTAACCCTGAATATTATCGGAGGTGGGATGAAAGCTTCCGGAATCTTGATTCAAGGTTGTCTGTATTTTGTTTTCTGTTCATATTAATAACATTCTTTAATCATGTTAATTAGGAACTCGATCCGCCTCCATGGCTTAACCGAATGCGAGAAATTGGTTACCCACCAGGATACATAGGTAACTCGATTCTGGTGATTCCGAGTGTTTCCGTTTGAAACCTTATTCTTCATTATGATAAAAAGCAATTAGTTTCGCATTGGATTAATCAATCATTTTTGAACTTGTGCAGATGCAGAAGATGAGGAGCAGCCATCTGGGATCAAAATATATGGGGAGGCGGAGGAGGAGGAGGTGGTTGTTAAACAGGAAGATACAGAGGATGGTGAGATTCTTGATATGGATTGCTCCCCTCCTCCCGGAGAGCCATCGAGACCCGAACCACCGAAGAAAATGAGCGTCCAATTTCCGGGCGTGAATGCTCCAATTCCAGAAAATGCCGATGAATGGCGTTGGGGAGCAAGGGCTTGGAAGTTTGATTTACCGAGAAATAGATCGAGCAACAGGTTTCATAACTCGACCGAAAGTCCTGCAATTAGTAGGTCTCATTATCATGAAGAAAGGTGGAATCGGGATTATAGGGACGACGGGCCACCTGGAGTGGAGCCGGGTAGCGGTCCGTTGGGTTCCAGCTTTTCACCTAGGTTCAGTGATTATGAGTCTAGAGGGTCAAGTTATGGGAGGTCTGTGTCGGAAAGAATGAAACGAAGCCCTTTGATTCGTGAAAGCGGTTCTAGCCATGATGATGAGCGGTGGAACCCGTATTCAGGCGAGCGAAAGGAGCGGCATGAAGAGCGGCACCACCATCATAGTCGGAGGTGATTAATCGGAGAGGGGTTAGCAAAGATGGTTAGTTTAGCCTCTGACTAAATACAGACTGGATGATTATTTTTTAGTTTTCTGTGGAACCTGCAATGTACTGTTTGTACTCTAAAGCTGTTGTGGCTTTATTATGTTGTACACCTGAAACTTTGGTTCTCTTGGTTGGTAAGATGCCATTTATGTTTAATAGATTAATCTTTGGGTTAAATAACTCGGATCTATTTATAAGTGCTTATTGGGTAAGTGTTTATTGTCTGTATGGTAACATTTTTCGCCATCAAAACAGATCGTTTGTAATTGTGTTTTTACTGGCGAGAGTTTATTGGGCAGCTGTTCCTTACCGGGTTGCTAGCCTACATATTTGAAACTAAGAATAGGTAGCAGAGACCGGGAGACCTCGGTGACTGATTTGAGGACACCACCAAGGTGCAGGGGCGACGATGTTGTCGGACACGTTGTTGGAGTGCATGGAGGGGTAGGTAGTAGAGTCAGGAGGCCTCTGGTAAAATCACTTTCAACTTCAGTTTAGGTTATTTTACTTGAAGGATATGGTATTATCAAAAGGTAAGTGAGAATCAATCGGTGATCTCATGGTTATCGTAAACTAAATATTTATCATTTTATTATATATATATATATATATATATATATATATATATATATATTGTAACATCCCTAAAGTCCGAAACGACATACTGACCCAATAACTTCGAATCCAAGTTAAAATAATAGTGGAAGTTATTGGTGGCCCAATGTTTGAGAGGAAGTCCGTTTGATAAATTATTTTTTCAGTCCGTTTTGGTTCGTGGATCGATGTGTTATAGGTCGGGATGTGCAATTGAGAAGTGTTGTATGGGGACAAGGTATTAGACGTGCTTGGCTTGGCCCAGCTTGTCTAGGCGTTCTTGATAGCTTTGTGTGGGCACAAGGCACCGGACGTGTTTGGCTTGACAGTCGTGTGGGCAAAAGGCACCGGGCGTGCTTGATTTGGCCCGGCTTTCCTAGGCGTTCTTGATAGCGTCGTGTGGGGACAAGGCACCCGACGTGCTTGGCTTGGCCCGCCTTGCCTAGGCGTTTTTGATAGCGTTGTTAGGGCACAAGGTTCCCAGAGTGCTTGACTTAGCCCGACTTGCTTACGCATTGTTGATAGCGTCGTGTTTTTATCCATATGGGACGAGTTGTTACAAACTCCCCCAGTTAAACTCCTGACGTCCTCATCAGGCCTACCAAGAATATTCCACCTTGCCATCGGCAACGTGAGATTTGCCTAAAATGTTACAAACACCTTTCTAGAAAACTCATCATACTCGATAAGGTTTGTCCCACCATCCCAATGGTACAAGGTTGACTCTGATACCATTTGTAACACCCCCAAAGCCCAAAGCAATAAACTGACCCAATAACTTCGAATTCAATTTAAAATCATGGTGAAAGTTAATAATAGC